AAGACTTAGAATCTCCTAGCTGCTCACATTGCGGCCCTGCACGTAGCATGCACTTGCTTGGGCATTTGATTCTTTCCCGCTCTTGCTCGAACAGATTCTGCGATTATAGTAGCGGGCTCTTCTGATATCTGTATTCATAGCGCCAACTGTGTCGTTTCTAGTTATTCTCATTTTTCGTCTCAAGCTCTGTAATTCTCGCTAATCCCATAACTGTGTTGTGTTCGAATTTTCATTGGGGAGTGCGACATGCGACTTCCGCGTCGATCGGATCGTCCGGAGTCATCTTTCGCGAGTTTCTTTGTGGCGAGGAGCATTCATTTTTTTCTGGTCAGCCGGCTCATCAGGTGTATTTGAATCCAGTTTCGTGCACATTATGGATACTCTTTTGACATCAAAAGGTTGTGTGCTTAGCAAGGGGATCTCCACTGTATCGATCTCAGCCGTCCGCAATTTGAAAATCACCTCAAGAGGGCCACTGGTTTGATTATCAACGACCAATCGTTATATATGAAATTATGTATATGTATGAAATGAAGACAAGACTGGGTCAACGGGTGATGGTCAAAGCGTTAGTGTTGTTGAGTCGGTCCGTCTGTGTCGCTGATAGGGTCTCTTGTGATCTTGCATTTGTACGGCATATTGATGATTTCCTTGTTATCGATTATCATTCGATTAGCAACCATACATAGGATGGACCGATAGATGCCCAATATTGAACGTGGTTCTTCCATCCCCATTTTTCGCATCATCACTGCTCAGGAGAGCTCCAAAATTTATATGTTTTCTAGGTGAATTTTTTCACAGGGCTGAACGTGAACGTTCGAGATCGAACAGGAGTTTCACTACTGTTGCTATGTTCGTTCTAATATTCAAGTACCACAATCGATCGATCAATCGCATGCTGTTTAACTCAATTTTTGTAGATCGTTACCACCCCCCAAGTTTGTGACGCTCCACATTCCGTTCCTGTTTTTACTGTTGACAATGTTGTTGAGTTGAACATGTGAAAGTATAAAGGAAATCCGGCCCAAAATTGTGCTGTGTTGAAGCGAATATCAGGTCTAATCAAAAATTCCGAGGCTTCGGCATTACCAATCAAACTAGAGGGTCTATATATTCAATGGAGACGTGGCTCAACCACTCTATTGATTTGATCTTTCGTGCACGCAGATCTACCTTTATTCAGCATTGAACGGTGTGATAGGGCTATCAGCAGAGGCGGAGGTGTTGTATTTCAAAAACGAACCCCTACCAATTACTGTTCATTTTGAATCTGTAGCCAATGCGTAGATGTTGCGATCTAAATGTGGGACATGTTCTGCGCTTCATCTTGATTTATGGGAGACCTAGTTGTGAGGTTGCCATGTCTGATCAGCTCACTAAGGTTACTCTCTAGTAGTTGGAGATTTTAACTACTCCTGCTACTTGTCCCCATTGTTAGGAAACCTCTTAGTTGTTTTGGTAATTGATAAAATGGAGTTTTAACGTTAAATGCGGAATTAGAAAAAACATAAAGGGTCCAATGATTCTGTAGAGGGAGGTTACCAACTGTGAAAGCAAAACCGCATTTTTAAGCTTCTGAAGACAAGATTAGCTAAAAAATCCAATGTTTAGGCACTTTTTTGTCCAAGTGGTACACTGGTTTATGACGAGACTGACAAAACGGAATCGCTATCATCTACCTTTCAACTATTTCGATGTCCCTAATCAAACTGGAGTCCGATTATTCTACGCTATGCAACGGAGCTTCCTGGAACGGAGGACTGGGGGTGGTTCCATAACTACGCAATTCGTGGACTGCTTCTCAACTGGCCACCATCGAAGTCCATACGCCTGATTTCATACCCTTTCCATTTTGTTCAAAGGATCGCTCATCTTATAAGTAGTCTGCTGGAACACATTTTCAACTCCAGTTTCATGAACGCAAAAGATCCCACGCATATGGAAAATGTAGTTGGTTTCTGCGGTTCCACAGAAACCGATCACATCACCGGTACACCTCTACCTGAGTCGAACAAGATCTAGGGTTCCTGATAACCAGGGACCTCAGACTCGTTCTCGTTGTGACAATATTGCTAAAAAGGGTACAGTCACCGTATATAATTGTTTCGAGTTTTGTCAACTGGTAGTCTTTGGTTTTGTTGAAGGCGTATATTTTCTACGCGAGACCTATTAGAGTATTGCACCTCCGTGTTCGGCCCATTTAGAAATGCCAATTGAAAAGCCTGAGGCCATGCGAGATCATTCTACTAGGAAACTGATGGTGAGGGTGACTGGCTCCATGTATGATCAAATTCCTTGCTGAGATCAGTAACTAGGTATAACTATATTGAGTTCCGACGGGAGAAAATCTCTCATTATGTCACAAACGGAAACATGACAAGATAAGGCTAGACCTCGGTGAAGTTTGGACTCGAAGGCCCTCCATGACGAGGGGCAAAGGTTTGCAATTAGATGCGGGTTTAGCTAGGTTGATTCGTGGGCGTCATTTCTGTACCCATAAGGTGGTTTTCCTTATTCTGAAATTTATGCAAGGAGGATCGGTTACTTTCAGCATCCTACAGCACATTAAGAACTTTGTGGAGGACTGTTTGAGCCCGTCAATCGATTGAGCCTATCTCTTTTTCAGTTTTTGCTCTCTCAATTTCATGTTTTTTCCTCATTGTTATAGTTCTGAGCCATTGTCTAGGATACGAGTAAATTTCCATTACGCATGAATCGCTAGTGTGATAAATATATTTTATATATGGTTGGTGAAGTGGTAACTGTGGAAGAACGCTTGGATCCACAAAAAAGGATTAAACAAGGTGGTGCAGAGCATTCCGCCCATTGCCAAGCCATTATGTTAATTTGATGAGCTGACGATATCTTGCTAATGCGAAGTAAGCAATGAAGGTTTACTTAACGTTATCCGGTACTGCAATGTCTCTATTGAACATCAGAATTATCTGCCGGCAACTGCCACGACCTCCCTTCACCATTAGGGCTTCCATTGTGTCCCTTCCACTTTTAACACCAAGACAACGTGGACAAAAATGTACAAAAAAGTTATTTTACAATGGAGGGCATTATTACAATCACGGCATGAAGTTAGCAGCTCAACACCTAGTTGGACCTTAGGTCCGTTGAGGTTTGTTCTCTTCATGTCAGTGGGCTCACGCATCCTTACTGTAGCTGCAACTCTTAGAGGCTAACAACAAGACTGATCAATTCTTCTTACTACTTGCGCCTTGCCTTGGAGAATTTCTTTCGA